TCATTTCTCCAGTACTTCTTTAAACATATCTGATTGGTTTGAGAAGGATTTTACTATTAGTTTACAATATTCCATTTTACGTCTATAATTTAGAGGTAGCTCTCCAGCTTGGCTTAGTAAAACATTGGTGGGTGTGGATATCATTAATCCTAGGATGTTTCTAATAGTTGCGTATTGAACTCGGTCCAGACATGTCATTTTGTGTGGAGCAACGTCCAGCAAAGTGAGACCGCCCCAATTTAAAATAGATCTTATTAGGCCTCTATGTACATAAAGTAAAGTTAAAGGATGACACCCCCATTTGATGCCAGCAATTTTTTTAAGAATGTTAAGTCGTTTCATGCATTTGTGGTATAACGATTTTATATGCGTGTCCCAACTAAGTTTATGGTCAAATATATAGCCTAAGAAAGTGACTCTCGGAACAAGTGAAATAATTGAATTATTTAAGTTTAAATTACCTCTGGTATTGTTTACTAAATTACGTATGGTTTCGAAACGGGTCATATTACTAAATATACATAGATTAGTTTTCTCGGCGGAGATTTGTAGATCTAAGGCTGTAAGGTTGCTATTGAGTGTCACTAGATCATTTTGAAGAATTTTGCAAATGTTGTAGACATGTTTGCCTTCAGTGAAAATAATGATGTCATCCGCATAAGCTAGAATATGAGAATTTTTATTTAGATTTCTATGTATATATGAAATATAAATGTTGAATAAAATGGGACTAAGGACTGATCGTTGTGGTATTCCAATTGATGTTTTACGAGTTCCAAGACATTTACCTCGATAGTAACCTGTAATTGATCTATCACATAAAAGAAAGTTGATAAATTTAAGAATGTTGTAAGGGAGGTTTAAGTTAGTGAGGATATTCTTGAGTTTGGAGGGGTTGACGTGATCAAAGGCACTTTTTATATCAATAAATATAGCACCTACTTTGTTGTTAGTATTGAATGCTTTTTGAATGTAAGTTTTTAAAAATATAACGCTGTTAGCGCAAGCTTTGCCTTTACGGAAGCCATTTTGATATTGAGGCAAGCATGAAAAGTTCTCAGCCCACCACTCCAATCTGTTTTTAATTATTCTTTCAAAAATTTTTAGAAATATAGAGGATAGAGAAATGGGTCTTACATCTTTGTTATTTGCTTTAGGGATAAAAATCATAATAAATTCTTTCCATGAGTTAGGAAAATTGCTCGAAGTCAAACAGGAATTGTATATACATCTTAGGTGTTTTAAGAATTTAGGTGGCAAATTTTTAATTATTGTACTGGAAAACATATCCTTACCAGGGGCTTTTTTCTTGTAACATGAAGCTTTGATTGCTACCTGAAACTCGGGATCTGAGATAGGCGAAGCTAAGAAGTTGTGATTGGTATACTCTTGCATTGTGGGATGAGGTATTGCTCTTTGAGTCAGATTGGAGTGGTGACCGGTTTTATTGGTTTCTATCGAGACTGGTGGGGGAGGACCAAAGGTAACAGTTTTTTTGAAAGTATTAATTGCCACATTATACTTTTCTTCAGAAAATTCGTCATTTTTTAAATTCACCGGTCTTCTTAACCTAAATGATTTAATAGTGTTCCACGTATGTGATATATCACTATTTGCATTAAGCGAATTACAGAATTCTCTGAATTTGAGATTTCTGATTTTACGTAATTTATTTTTAATTTGCTTGCATTTGTCCAGATAACTGTTGATATTTTCTATAGAAGGATTAGCTTTAAATTTTTGGTAAAGATCCCTTTTTTCATTAATCAATAACGAACACTCCTCGTTCCACCAATAC